CGACACAACATAAAAGCCATTTTTGGAACGTAGTGTTACCAAAACGCACTGGCTTTTCTATATATTAGAAATTGTTAATCTAACTGATTTTTACCAATAATTATCCTGTGAATACGCCACGAATTCAATTCATGAATGATCTTAATTTTGATTGGCTCACAAAGGAATTTACCGACGTTTGAGTGCCTCGACTACACTTTTCTGCCTCTTTGTTGATCAAGCTTGATTTCGTAAAATTTATTTATTTAAGTTAGTTATGAAATGTGAGGTTAGGGTATACTATGGGGTGGGGGGGGGTAGTACTTGCCCCGCCATTTTTGACAGGCTATATGCTAGTATATAAAATAAGTCACGGTATCATTTATTTTGTCCACGATGATATGTCTAACAACAGAAATAATAATCATTATATCATTTATTTTGTCTACGATGATATGTCTGAACAACAGAAATAATAATCATTATATCATTTATTTTGTCCACGATGATATGTCTAACAACAGGAATAATAATCATTATATCATTTATCCCCGTTCAACAAATAATATTTATAATATGAATATCCAAAGTGATATCATATTGATTATTATGGAATCCAGTGAACAGCTAATTTCAAGGACTTTCGTACTGCTGACGTCACAGATCTCGTAAGGTACCTACGTAGGTAGGACCAGCAGAGTGGAAATTAGTTTTGGAGTGTTTTCAATTTAGTGTACAGGGAGATAGTAAGTCAAGATCAGTGTTATTAGATGTCTCTTTACACTATGTAATATTTAATATAAGAACTACACTATGTAATATTTAATATAAGAACTACACTATGTAATATTTAATATAAGAACTACACTATGTAATATTAAATATAAGAACTACACTATGTAATATTAAATATAAGAACTACACTATGTAATATTTAATATAAGAACTACATTATGTAATAATAAGGAAATAACAGAGAAATTCATTTAGTGTTTAGATTACAAAGGAAAGAACAGAGAAATTTATATCTAGCAAGACCATGGATATTTAGCGTATAAGAAAGTCACCACTGATGGTCTATATCCTTAACGTCAGGCCTGCCATCTTTCGGCATTTAATACAGTAACATTAGATAAATTAATTTACCTTTTTCTTGATTTCTTCTTCTCGTATAGTCGTTTTAAAAGTTAATTTAAGAGCACGCTTTGTTAGTATTTAAGATAAAATTTCCTCCATCATTTTTAAAAATCAGTAGAAGTGGAAAAACAACAACCTAGAAATGAATGGAATTAAACTGTTAAGCTTAAGTTTCAGATGCCACAGTTCTCAATCTTCAGTTTCTTGGTTGATTTATCCGACCAAATAAAACCAATATTTTTATGCATACAGAAGTGAAGAAATAATATCTAATAACTTTGATCCTGAATGGAAGTGATATCTAATAAATTTGATCCTGAATGGAAGTGATATCTAATAACTTTGATCCTGACTGTAAGAGACATCTAATAACTTTGATCCTGACTGTAAGAGACATCTAATAACTTTGATCCTCAATGGAAGTGATATCTAATAAATTTGATCCTGAATGAAGGTGATATCTAATAACTTTGGTCCTGAATATAAGTGATATCTAATAACTTTGATACTGAATGGAAGTGATATCTAATAATTTGGTCCTGAATGGAAGTGATACCTAATAACTTTGGTCCTGAATGGAAGTGACATCTAATAACTTTGATCCTGAATGGAAGTGATACCTAATAAATTTGGTCCTGACTGTAAGAGACATCTAATAACTTTGATCCTGAATGGGTTCTTATATATTTAATATTACATAGTGTAGTTCTTATATTTAATATTACATAGTGTAGTTCTTATATTTAATATTACATAGTGTAGTTCTTATATTTAATATTATATAGTGTAGTTCTTATATTTAATATTACATAGTGTAGTTCTTATATTTAATATTACACAGTGTAGTTCTTATATTTAATATTACATAATGTAGTTCTTATATTTAATATTACATAATGTAGTTCTTATATTTAATATTACATAGTGTAGTTCTTATATTTAATATTACATAGTGTA